TTTCTTGGTCATGTGATTTCAGGTAGTGGCATTGCTATAGATCCATTGAAGGTTGATGTTGTGTTGCAATGGGAAACTCCAAAGTCAGCTACTGAGATTAGAAGCTTCTTGGGATTAGCTGGTTATTATAGAAGGTTTATTGAAGGGTTCTCTAAGTTGTCACTTCTGTTGACCAAGTTGACTTGTAAAGGTAGAGCGTTTGTTTGGGATGTTCAGTTCCAAGAAAGTTTTACGGAATTGAAGAAAAGGTTAACATCGGCTCCGATTTTGACGTTGCCTAATCCAGGAGAGCCTTTTGTGGTGTATTGTGATGCTTCTAAGATGGGTTGAGGAGGTGTACTTATGCAGAATGGTAAGGTAGTTACTTATGCGTCAAGGCAGTTGAGGACTCATGAGAAGAACTATCCTACATATGATTTAGAGCTTGTTGCTGTTGTTTTTGTGTTGAAGATTTGGAGACATTATCTTTATGGTTCTAGATTTGAAGTGTTTAGTGACCATAAGAGTTTGAAGTATTTGTTTGATCAGAAAGAGTTGAATATGAGGCAACGAAGATGGTTAGAATTGGTAAAGGATTATGATTTCAGTTTGAATTATCATCCAGGAAAAGCAAATGTGGTAGCTGATGCATTGAGTCGAAAGACTTTACACATGTCAGCAATGATGATTAAAGAGTTGGGATTGATTGAGAAGTTCAGAGATATGAGATTAGTTTGCGAGGTTACTCCATAAAGTTTTATGTTGGGTATGTTGAAGATTAATAATGATTTTTTAGACAGTATCAGAGAAGCTCAGAAGTTGGATGTGAAACTGGTAGATTTGATGGCTGGGATTGATCAATCTGAGAATAATGATTTTAAGATAGATGAGCAAGGTGTGTTGAAGTTTCGTAACTGGATTTGTATTCCTGATTGTTGTACCCCAAAATTTGCCCTATCTTTTTCACAAGAAATCACAGCTTCGGGCTTTTCCTGATTTTTTAGATTGGTTTAAGAATCGGTCAAACAGACTTTTCTTAACAGTCAAACAAGATTAGGGTTTCCAATGACTTTTGAATCAGTCAGACAGATTATTAGGGTTTCTATTCATTTGTTTGAGTTAGGCTCAGGGCTTGATCAAGCAGACGCTTCTTTGACAATAAATCAAGAATTAGGGTTTGCACGCGCATTTTCAGAAGAATTTGAATCCACAGTGTCTTAATTGGCTGCCACACTGCTTTGACGTTTGTTCCAGATTTCTGTTTGTCTCCCAAAACCTAAACATCTGGGATAAAAGCTGAGGCATTTGAATTGAGGGTTTGAAGTGTTGGTTTAATCAGTGAAGTGAAAAGCATATGGACGTTTGTTTGTTTAACTGTGCAGTGCTTTTGGTTATTTGGAACGCCGAACGTTTGTTGATTATTTATAATTTCTAAGTTAAGATTATTGGGATAATTTCCAATTATTATGACTCACGAAATTTAAATAATTAAATGAGCAATTGCAGAAGAATTAAAAGAGATATCTGACAAAGAAAGATTTTTATTCATTTTCAATTGTTTGTTACAAATATTATTCGAATACTATAAATTTATTTACAGTTGTTTACAATAATGTTATTACAATGATTAAAAATAAATTAAAACTATATCCTAAATCTCTTGAAGTCTTCATCTTCTACTGTTGCATCCTTTGCTCAACTGATGTTTACCTGCAAAGACAAAAAAGGAAGGAGTCAATACAGTTAAAATGAAAAGGGCATTTTCAGACAGTTAATCATAAAAACTCATCATTAAAGGTTTTGGCCGGAATCAGTTTATTCGTCCTCTCTGCAAATCGCAAGAAGATGTCTCTTCTTGGTTCACAAAGAGGAAAGCAAATTATTTGCAAGCATATGAATTAATCAAATACAAAGCTGCATAAATTCAAATTGGCAAAAAAAAAAGGGCAAACAAAACTGAAATGCCAAACAAGCTGCATAAATCCAAACTGAATTACACTATCAAACAAGGCAAACCAAATTGTCAAAAGTGCAAAGCTGTCAACAAAACTGTCAAAAAGAGATGTCAACCAAGCTGTCCAAAGAAACTGTCAAAAGGCTGTCAACAAGATATCAAAAGCAATGCAGAAAATCTGGAGGTAAGAAGATATGCAGAGGAAAGACAAAATGCAAGCCAACTTGTAAAAGCATTTTTTATTCACCATTTTCCAGGCCAAAAACCTTTTCAGAACAGAAAGTACAGTTTAAGTAATTAAAAATACTTTTCTGGAGAGAGAGAAAAGAGAGAGAGAAGTAGAGGCTTACAGTGGGCAGGCTTAAGACAAATAAATATAACAGATCAACACTGTAAAGAAGGGGGCAGAACACACATAGAAAAAACATAACACAAAACTGTAAACAGAACACAAGCCTTGAAGAAGCAAGCACAACCTTAACCTGCCTAAAGCCTGTCAAACACAACCCAAACATATAGCCTAAAAACTTGCCTCAAGCCTGTAATCAAAGCCAAAGTTACCAAACACATAAACACCAAGCCAACTGCACAATAAGCAAGCATACAGGCCTGCATAAGGCACCAAACTTTAAGCCTGCTTCAAGCTGCTCAAACCTACACAACAAACTGTCTTCAAGCAAGCAACCATTCAAGCCAAAGCCCTAAAGCCTGAATAAACACAAGCCTGCATAAAACTAGAAGCCTGCCTGTACAAACAAGCAATCAAAAGCAAGCCTTCAAATTAAAAAGCCTGTCAAAAAACTAGTAACACCCAAACCTGCTTCAAGCAAAGCCAAAAGCCCTCAGAGTCAAAACTCATCATCATCATTGAAAGCTCACCCAAATCAAAAAAATAGGAAAACTCAAAGAACAACAATAACCACATTCTCAGAAATGATCATCATTGGAAGTCAACAGCATCAAGAGAAAAGAAGAAGTCAGAAGTGAAACAATAGCCAACAAAGATCTCAGATTTAACATCATCATTGAAAAAAAAAGCAACCACAGCATCAAGAGAGGAAAAGCAACTCAAAAGCAAAGCCAAAAGCATCTCTGATATCATCTTCATCAAAAGAAAGCATCCTCAGAGCCAAGCTCATCACAGGATCAAACAAATCAAGCAAAAGAGAGGAAGAAGATTCAGAAGTGGCTATCCTAGGGTTTTCAGATTTATAGCATATCATCATAAAACCAAAACAAGGCTAAAAGATACGAGATACCAGGAAGCTCTTGTCACCATCATACTCCCTCGCCTTGGCCTCCTAAGACGCCTCCTGTCCAAGCTCTCCTCCTCCTTTCCAAAAAGCAGAACCAAGGCATAATTTCTCCTTCCCTTTCCTTTTTTACACCTCACACAAACATAAACAACACAGAAGATCAGAGCATATAAAGGATAAACATGCAAGACTAAAATCCGAAAACCCTAAAAAGCGCATGAAGACAGAAATCGTTACCTTTTCTTGTCACCGCCTTGCTCAACCATGGAGAGAGGGAATTGGAGGTGGCGTCCAGTGGCCAGGCACGGAAGTTTATCAGTGGTTCTTATCAAGAAGGATGAAGAGGCGAAGAAGAAGGGAGCGGCGCCGTTCGTAAAACAAACCCTAATTCTGAAACAAACATTTCAAACCCTAAACAAAATTGTCATAAGCGTTTGGGCCTGTCTCTTGAAAACAAACCCTTAAGCCCAATATTCTGGCGCATAACCCCCCCCCCCCCCCTTTACTTAAATCTGTTTGTTTTTGTTGCTTGGGCCTGCCCCTCATATTAACACACTAAAGCCCACTCTTTTTTTTTTATACAAACTGATACCCTTCCTTTTTTTTATTATCACATTATTCCATTTCTTTTTATATAATTTATTTTGTTAAGAAAAACAATATATCATTTTTTGTACAAAACTTTTCTTAATGTTTATTACCTTTTACAAAAATATGTAAATCTTAGGTTTATTAAGTTTAAACAATTTTTCTTTTATTAAAACCTTTTTTTGTTTAAATTAAATCTTGTATCACTACAAGAAAATTGGCAGATTGCGACAGGTATTTTTGTAGATTACGACGGTTAAAACCGTCGCAATTTGCTTTCCACGACGGTTGCTTTACCGTCGCAGAAGTGTGTGTCCCCAACCTATTTCGCGACGGTTACAAAAACTGTCGTTCAAGTTTACAACGGGTTTGGAGCTGACATAATCAAGTATTGGTGACTGTTTGATACCGTCGTGACTATCTTTTGAGTTTCTTTTAATTATTGATGGCGACGGTTCGATATTGTCGTGAATATCTTTTGAAATTGATTAAATTGTTTATGGCGAAGGTTCGATACCGTCATGACTTTTGTTGATTATTTTTAATTGTTGATTACGACGGTTTGGTACTGTCGCCGTGACTTTTGTTTATGTCTTGATTTTTTTTTATTTTTCTATTATATATATATTTTATTTAAATTATTATCTATGTAAAAAATTTTAAATATAGTTATTTTTGTGTTATTTTTTTCTTTAAATTATTTCTTCTTTAATATATTTATTTATAGTATTATTTTTTGTTTTATTTTCTATCACTTTGTAATATAGTAAAAATAATTTCAATAAAAAATATTTAACATCAAATAAGCATTATAATATCCAAAAAAATGTGTGTTCCATAATCATGTAAAATGCGAGTTCCATAATCATGTCAAGTAGTACAAAAAACCCAAAATATATCAATTCCTAATCTTATAATAATAAGTATCATTATGCCAAAAATACATGAGAAAGTTCACAATCTAATTATCTCGATCATAGCAAAGTCTAATTTGTCCCCCCTGAAGTTCCATTATCTCCAATACGGTAGCTAGACTCAGATGAACGTCTACCATCAGCGGGTGATTTCAATCCCTAAAAAAAGGTATTAAAATAATAATCTTTAAAATAATACTCATAAAATTTAACTTTAAATGCGTCAAAATAATATACCTGTCTTATTGAAATCACAGATACAGTAATATCATAGCATACCGAGTTGCTAAATTAAGATTCTCTCCTATTTTAATTAAGATTCCACTTGACAAGATCACCAAAAAAGCCCCCGGAACTTGATTTCAGAAACTGGTATACTGGAGCAGTAAATGGTCCATTTACATCAACCTGTTTTACAAAACTTCATTACCTTGTCTCTTACTCGCATGTAATCTGTTTTGAAATACTGGATATAGAAACATTGTATCAAACCTTATCAAAAATTGGAAATTCTGCTTTGAACTTAGTGCAAGCAAATTGCTTAATTTCTTCATTTGATCCAGGCTCCTGCATGCCAAATTGATTGCAAGGGAAAGCTAGAACCTCCAAACCTGGAAAGAAAATGCATAAGGACACTAAAAATGTGAGGCTGATAAAAACATTACTTTAGAACTAAAAATCTGAGAGCTGTTCAGAGAGAAACAACAAAGTAGAAAATTGAATTTCAGTCACTTTGAAATAAATCCTTTGGAATATTTTAAATTTTCCTACAACGAAAAGTATCTAAGGCCCAGAGCTCACTTTCATGTTCCACAATAATGACCTTGACACGCTGCTTGCATTAATTACCAACTTGGAACGAAATTTGGATTGCTATAATAGCTATTCCATCCTATTGCACATTCTTCCACACCCCAAAATCGTAATTGTAATCAAAATGAAACAATCCACACTTTTTTCAGCTACTTTTAGGGGGGGAACTGTTTTTCTTTTAAAAACTCCCTCAGCTGCATTTTCTGTTTTCCATCTCCCCAACAAGCACACGACACATTTAAATTCCAAAACGGGAGCCGTGGAATGAGAATCACAGTACTATAATGTCAGACAAGTTAGTATCAATTCCAAACGGTAGAATCCTTTAAAATATGGAAATAAAACAAGATATGTTGCCTGTATAAATTGGATAAAGCATTACACAAGGAAACAGACATGTATTAAGTTCCCCACGGGTATCCTCATACGGAAGTCAATCCTGTTCGAGACACTATTGGATACTAAAGTGACTGTCTCTTCTAGCAAAGATTCAAAATGTATTTTTCTACAAGTGGGATGGACTAGCCTTTTCTGCTGGACTCAACCCTCATTGGTTGAAATGGACATGCATTTAAGACCATAACAAATAGGTTTCCATATAGAGCTATGTTTGGCCGATAGAGAAATACTTGGAATAGAGATATGGTTTTTAAAGTAAGTACATCAACATATCCCATTTGGTTAGCTTCACTCAATCAAACATCAATATCCACATCTAAAAATCCCAATAAGTTACCTGTGCCTGAACTTCAATAGGAACTAGGAAGAATAGACATACTACTCTCCTAATCTTAAACATAATCCAACTCAAAACAAGGAAGAATGGACATACTACTCTCCTAATCTTAAACATGATCCAACTCAAAACAGGGAAGAATAGACATACTACTCTCCTAATCTTAAACATGATCCAACTCAAAACAGAATGATTTCAGAAGTAGATAGATTCAAAATGAAGCTACACTGTCAAAATATCTAGTCACCAATAATCATATAAAAAATATAGGAAAAATAAACAAATAACTATGCTCCATAAGTAACATACCTCTATCTTTAAAATTTTCATACAAGTGCGAGAGTTCTGTGTAATTTGATGATGTCAAGCCACTGCCATTCATTCAAAGGAAATCATTCAATAGGAGGATCATAACATACCAGAAACTTTGACATAACTTTCAAGGTATTTGATTTGAACCTTCTCAAATAGAACTTGATTAGCAGAAATTGACTAATCACTTCGGAGATACGCTTATATAGAACACACTATTTATTTTTAAATGAAGACTCACCACCTAATTTGTTAAATGAATAACACTGAATCCATCCTATCAGTTCGGCTTGAATAATGCCCCCCTCAATATTTGTAATAATTCTAAATTGCGGATGCGTGAATAAATGCTTGCAACCCATGCGGTTGCAATACATTGCGGAAACTTCTAAAACCCTAATACTATGTACTACAATGGAGAACTATCTGCTTAAACATACCTAAAATTTTATGTTTGGATTGGTGGGATGTGATGGAATGAAATAAAATGGAGTGGTATATAATCAGATTCCCTTGTTTGGATTTGCAAATAATGGATAGTTGTGTATTTTTTATAAGTTGACGGAACGGAACAAAACAATTTAGTTCATTCCATTGCTCCACTCCACTCCATTCCATAATATTCTATTCTGCTCCGCTCCTTTCTAATTCATCGATCCAACCATAACCTAAAGGGAAAGTGAGTGCAATTTCCCCTAAACATAACATTACAACTGAAAAAAAATAAGGCTTTCACACAAATATAAAGTGAATAAATCATACCATCGTGAAGCAACATTGACAATCAAGAGAACCTTCCCCTTGAATTTGCTAAGAGAAACATCCTTCTTATCAATATCCTGCACCACACAAAAATCACAATATCCTGCGTCAAAATTTAACTTTAACTTAGCTCTTTGGAAGATAAGGGGTAGATAATTCATCATGCATTCATGTTCTGATCTAGCCTATTGAAATCAACACAAAGCCAGCTCAGTTATCTTTCATCAAGAGATTCAAACAAACCATGCAATGCTAATATGAGAAACCTTGGACAGATTCTAATCATAAGGTTTATAATTTCACTTGATCCATTAGTTAGATTCTAACATTTGCCAATAAAATATTATAATCAGAAAGTCTTACTAGATTTATCTTAGATTTCAACTTTGGCAGACACTCTGTATCAATAATCATCATAGCATTTGCTACAAAATAGTAGTACTACTTGTTACAGAAGTGAAAATATCATGATACAAAGGCAAAGAACAACATATATGTTCTCTAGTTAATCATAGAATTACTTGTTAAACAATACTAATAACGTTGAAAATGCAAGAGAGTTAAGAAAACATACCAAGAAAAGTAGAAGGAAATGCTGAACCAAACCTAGCAAATCAAGATGAAATGGTAGAAGTCCTGCAACCCAACCAAGGTTTAAGAACCCCAAAATCTAAAATAAGAATAAGAATTGAATTCCCAAACAAAGGAATCTAATTCAATTTCAAAAAGTAAAACCTTTGTTGCTAGCAAATATGACAGAAGCAACACAAGTCACTCAAATAAACATGCTTTGGTCAGAATCACACTCTGCAACAGAATATGATGCTTAAATGGTTATAAAGTCCTTTTACAACACCCACTAGGCACTATATAGCATAGCATATCAGAATTCTATAAACTCAGCCATACCTTGAGTTGAGCATTACAGCAAACACTTGATGAGCATCATTTTAGTACTATTCTAGTCAGGTTTCAGTATTGCTATTTAACTATTCAAAATAATCATTATACATTGCAACTTGTCAATAAACATATAGTATATATTTTTGCATCTAGGCTGTGTATAATATATTGATAGGAAAAGGACAAATTTTAGAAGAAAAAAATGATAGAAAATCAAGGGAAACAAAAATTGGAATCACTAGTTATGATTATTGATGAAAATAACTAGTAATCCACGGTGAAGATTCACTGAAATTTTTGAAGCAGTTTTTCCCTGCACATTGATTGAGCTATGTGCAAGTATTGACACTGTTTTTATTAGTGCAGAAAATGACATAGCAGAAGAAAGTAAATAAGACAAATTTAATAATAGTTTTGTATGGAAACTTATGAGAAGGACATAACAGAACAATAACAACAATTAATTTGATGTGAATCAATTTTCACGAGTTGAAAAAACAAAGCAGAACCTGAAGATTGTTGGTTTTGACGTAGGACCAAACACGCATGAAACAGGTTAATCGAGAAGTCTGAGATTGACCGACGAAGTCTCTGAGAGTGGGAGGAAGGTTAACGAGATCGATCAAGTTTGCGAGCTTTTTAGGGTTATCAGTAACGGCTTTCTTCATTCGCTGAGGAAGCATTCTTCACTTCAATACACGATTTGTAATGGCTGCGAGATGGGTTTATCAAAATTCTAACTTCAGAGGAAATGTGCAACTCAATTTATGTTTAGTTAGGATTAGGTATAAATTTAACAATAACATTGTGTTTCAACTATATATGTGAATATTATGTCAAGCTCTATGTATATACTTTAGCTCATGATAAATGATTATTTAGGTATAAACTTAAAATCATTTTTCAACATCAATTAAATCCACATATCATGTTATAAAAGTCATGTCTTTCGAGGCATAACCATAAGTTACCCTTGGTCTAGTCCTATCAGACCGTCTCGATATCTCATAGATCCTCCTCAAGCATAATACAAATATAACAAGCATTGAGAAAAAGATGAAAGATTAAATTTATTTGATTGATTAAATTGAACATAACACCATTGTCGTATCAAATTCATAGAATATATAATAATGCATAAATTTAACCTTAACAAGAGAGAACTTAAATATACATAACAATTATAATTAGATAAAATATATAAGTTAGCAAGAGATTTTTAAAGGTTTTGGGTGCGACGGTTGTTTTACCGTTGTGAAATGAATTATAGGACGGATAATTTTACCGTCGTGAAAGGTTTAAGGGTGCGACGGGTGCTTTACCGTCGTGATATGCCTTTTAGGACGGTTAATTTTACCGTCGTGACTAGTTGTTGGTGAAAAATCAATGTTAAAAGTGTTAAATGGGGGCCGACGGTTGTTTTACCGTCGTAATAATAATATTATGATGGTTAAATATACCGTCGCAAAATAAATATTAGGGACGGTTGGTGTCAACTGTCGTAAACACTGTCTCTATATGTCAATTACGATAGTTATCACATAACTGTCGCAATTTTTGTGTCGTTAAACACTAATTTTCTTGTAGTGTATATAAAACATTAACAAAATATCTAAAAAAATAGAAATTCTTTAAGATTAAATATTTCTTTCTTTAAGAACTTTTTATTTATACCATTAATAAAAAACACAAAAAATAATATTAACACTTAATAAATACATTAGGTTAACATTTTTACTCATGTGTAAATAATCATATGCATCTCACATTGCTTTTGATTCCTTTTTATTCTTTTACTTTTACATTGAGAATGCGACAATTCGATTTGGTTGTAAATAATATTTGGACACTACTATCCTGATAAGACTCATCCCCATTTGTAAACATTTGTACCCCCATCCCCGGATACTTATTTGTAATAGCTTAGACTTTAAATTCCCGCAATTTATCGCTTTCTATATACTGTATAGAAATTAGGGTTTGTATGCGAAGATTCAAAATCAACCGCTAGATAACCTAATACAAAGACAAATGCATGAAAATCAATACACAATTCACACTTGCACCCCTAGGGTAATCCCGCTTGTTGCCTTCAAAAATGGGCCATGTTTGCATGTCAAGTACTTTGGCAAAACAAAACAAAAACAAACAAAATGATCATAGCCCCTCGATGACGCTATCTTGTTTCCTAAACAAAATGATCATAGTCCCTCAAGAAAATTGCCAAAGACACTTGACACTATTGCATTCATGGTCTATACGATGACCCGCGCCCGTCCCGTTAACATCCTAACACAAGGTTGTTCACCAAATACAATGGTGAAACAACACTGTTAAAAGGGTTAAAACATAAGAAAGATCTTTGAGTAAAATATGGTAGATAGCTCTTGGTTACTCGATCAAACTTGCAAAACACACTTGCCTACTTTCAAACACACTTCACAAACACAATTTCCAAAACAACTTTCAAAACCTTGAAACATCTTTTCAAAAAGACAAACACCTTTGTAAAACATTCGAGTAAAGAATTGTTACAAGGGTTGCCTAGACAAGGCATCTTTTTCAAAACATTTTCAAAACCACACATACAAAGCACCATTTCAAACAATTGAAAAGCAAAGGCAAGTGATCTAAAACAAGTAACTAAGAGCCCATGGATAACCATGGATGAAAAGGGTGTTAGCACCTTCCCTTTTCATAATCTACCCCCCCGAACCCACGAAAACATCTCAAAGGTCTTTCCTGTGCTTTTTGACCTTTCCTTAGGATAAATAAAAAGTCGGTGGCGACTCTTGCTAAACCGAACAAGTGCGAATACAAACGCAAAACCTCAAGTCAGTTCTCCCACCGTATCACAGAACTGGCGACTCTGCTGGGGATTTTTCTAAAATTGGGGTTACCTTAGGGTTTAGATCACCTTTACATACTTGCTTTGATTGCTTTACTTTTTTGGGTTCCTTGTTTGGGTTTGTTTAAATCCTACACCCGGATTTGGGGGCACCTTTTTAGGTAAATAGCAATAAACTGTGAGGGAACTGTGCGGGGTATACCGACATGGTTGAAGCAGTAGCTATGTTAGTGTGACATATTTGTGAGTACCGGTAGCCCTTGAGTAGTCAAGGAGAATACGGGGCTGCTGAGTGATGTCATGAAGCACTAACGAACTCTTAGAACCTTAATTGACCATCTTGGCCTTTTTAGGGGTAGTGAGATGACCGACTTTGGTGCAGTCCGAAGTTGGTAGATACTCGATACTACACTCATTGAGGGTTGTTTTCTTGGAATATTTTGGTCTCCAGTTAAGTGGCTAAATCAAAACAATGAACACAGAAAATAATCCAATGATATTTAGCTCCTTAGAACCCGGTTTCTATTTTAGGACAGGATGAGCCAACTAACTTCAAGAGGGTACTTACCTACGAACCCCATGCAAGCCTAAACCTAAGGACTTGTTTGCTTTGTGTGAATATGATTACCTGTATATACACTTACTTGCTTTTGCATACATGTACGTAACATCATAACATCATACCATAGCATTTTCAATAACCATTTCAAGGATCTCGAGGGTTCTTTTGATGCAGGGTCACGTTGAACCAGACGTCTACCAAGGGGCAAGAGGTTTTCTCATCTAAACAAATGCCATCAAAGATCAAGTGCAACAAACTTGAATCAGGGGCTATGACCCACTTGACATGGTGAGCTTGATTCTTGTGGAAAGACATCCACCGTTACAAAGTTCTCCAATCAAAGATGTTGACCAAAGCTCAACCTCTAACATTTTCTTGTGTTTACCCCACGAGATCCTTGAAAACATTGCATCCACATATCATGCATTGCATCATAACAGGTTTCTCCTACAGGTCTCCTTATCTTCCTACTGTTTATTTCAGTAAGATGGATATGGAACAAACGGTGAAAGATCTCCAAGCTCAAAACGCTCAATTCCAACAAATGCTTCTGGCTATGGGTAAAGGGCAAGAGGATCTGAAAGCCCTCCTTCTCAAAGACAAGAAGAAGAAGTCCAAGAAGGCAACGGGAAACCTGAAAAGAAGACCTAAAACCCTAGATCTCTTAACTCCACCCAGCATAGGGGCCAGTCTTGAAGAAGACCACAATTTAGAGATTATGAAGCTGACTACTCTGAAGAACAATATCCTCCCGCTGATGACAAGTACAAACAGTTGGAGGATCGCCTCAATGCTATGGAGATTCAGCAAATACCTGGCTTGGATTTAGGAGACATGGGTTTAGTTTCTGGATTGGTCATCCCGCCAAAGTTCAAGGTCCCTACCTTTGCCATGTACGATGGAGTCTCTTGCCCTAAGATGCACTTAAAATCTTATGCTCGCAAGATTCAACCATACACAACTGATCCAAAGCTTTGGATCCATTTCTTCCAAGAAAGCCTGGTAGGGACTCAACTCGAGTGGTTTTATCAATTGGAGAGTTCTCGCATCCACACCTGGGAGGACTTAGCTGCTGCTTTTTATAAACAGTATCAGTACAATGCTGATCTTGCACCAACTCGTGTGCAATTGCAGAACATGACCATGGGTTCTAACGAGAACTTCAAAGGATACGCTCAAAAGTGGAGAGATCTGGCTGGTAGGGTGCAACCCCCTTTAACTGACAGAGAGCTGATTGACATCTTCATGGGAACTCTGACAGGGCCTCTCTTCAATCACTTAATTGGAAGCTCCTCAGCTGGGTTCACTGAGCTAATACTGACCGACGAAAGGGTCGAAGCTGGCATCAAAAGTGGAAAGATCCAAGGAGCCACACCCTCTGATGCTCAGGAAATTCCCTACAATGGAAAGAAAGAGCCTAATGCTGTGAACAGTCAAAAGAGTCATCGTTACTAACACGCAGGGGCAATCCTGATCTCTGGTGATGCGTCACACCGACAACAGAAAAAGGGAAATCAACGAAGGCCAGACGATCCTAAGAGACAATTCACCAACATCAACATGCCGCTGTCTCAAGCACTGCAACACTTGTTGAAGATGAATCTGATTGCATTGATAGGGCCTCATCCAAACCCCAAGATCTCTTCTCCTAACTACAATCCTAAGGCCACATGTGCTTATCACTCTGACAGTCCTGGGCATGATACTAACGATTGTTGGGCATTGAAGTACAAGATTCAGAATTTGATTGATGCCAAGGAGATTGAGTTTGGTCCTCCAGAGACCCCAGCATGATCACTGCTCCTACGCTAAATCATTGAGAATGTCTTTTTTTCATTTGGAATTTTCAAGATGTAATATCTTTGTTATTCAAACAATTATCTTTTAATGTCAAACTCTGTTTCATTAATGCATTGCATATGTTTGTCTTGAATTCATCCATTCATTTTCACTATTCTTAAACTATGCTTTCTGCTTTCTTTATGACATTTAACTCTTGCAAAAGCTACAAGACTTTAGAGGGAGGATGACGAAACAATACCATAATCTCATACAGTATGCTTTTGAACAGACCTTGCTGATGATGTACAGGCGTTTCTTTCAAATCCCAAACACCGGAGTTATAAGGAAGATAATCCCTAGTCAACCCCTTCGAGCCAAAGAAGTAGGAGTTTTCTGTTCTAAACAAATTGAAACCTTTGATTTAAACCTGGGGTAGGGTAGTCTCTCAGTTAATTCAAAAAAGATGCGCATTGAAGTCGCAAACTCTCAGT